CAGTGTTCTCCTAATCCATTTCTAGTAGTCATTTATCAGAGATCAATAAAATGGTCTCCGTTATATGTTTGTTTCCTATCAGGCAGTAACAAAGAATTTACTGTCAACCGATTCACCCAGTCTTTGCACTGCTAAACCAAAGGAAAATGAATTTTTCTTAAGCTAAAACATTACAACCTAGGAGTAAGGGAGGGGGAAAGGCTTATAGGCCTTTCTTAGGTGTGTCTGTCACCTTTCTAGTCAAATAATTAATGAAGAAGTCTTTTTGTCAAGTGTTTTTCCTTATGACGTGTGGAAGACTATGTTGCAGACGGAAATAAGGGCCTGGTCACCAATTTGTACAAAGTATTTTTATGAATGATAGTCTGTAGACTGAATTTTTCACTGCTTGTCTCTCTCTAATACCGCAGCAGTCAGGACTGCCAAAACAGAGTTTCTGATTAAGGCCATGAAAACAAATATGACAGCTGGCAATGGAGACAAGAAGCTCTTCATAGCATCCCACTGCAGGGACTGGGATCAGTGCATGCAAGTTGATGGGAACCTTCAGCCTCTTGACTACAGTGAGCCATAGGCAGAGAAGGCCTCCTGGAGCCTCTCATCCTGCAGCCCAAACAAAGCCATGGAGGAATTAAATATGCAAAGAAAAAAAGATTTCCTTTTGCTATAGTAAATCTTGAAGCCTTCACAACTGGACATGGAAAAACTGGACTAAGGAAGCAGATGTGAACAAGCAGTCTTACCTTTGCGTAGATAATGTGACAAGTAGCTGCTGTCCAGAGCACTGAATGGGGGAAGGAGTTGGTTTATGTCATGTCCGCCCAAGTGCACCGACAGGCTACCTGTGCTGAGGGCCAGCTCTGGTACTGTACAGCTCTTCCGCTGTGGAGCAGACTTGTGTGAGAAAGAGCTGTGGTTAGAAATACCTCTGAGAAGCCTTGTTGGGGCCTCACCCACTTTGACTGGGAGTTGCTTTTAAGTTCAGGTCCTTGCCCTTGGTCCTTGCTGAGCTTTGTGGATATGCATGTGCCAACCGGTGTATCTCCCTCCCTGCTCCTGACCCACTGACTTGACTTCTAGGCTTGATCTCACACCTGCCTGGCAATCTGGACTTTTGGCTGACCATGGTTACTGTCGCTGGACCTGCTTTGCTCTTCCCACTTGGATCCCGTGGGAGCACACTTTTGGCTGACCATGGTTACTGTCGCTGGACCTTTCAGTGAGGCACATTTCAGTGAGGCCACTGCCTCTGCTTGCCTTGTAGTCATCCTTGGCTCTCAGCTTGCCTTTCCTCTTGGAGCAGCACCTGCACATGCTGCTCCCCAGCACCTAAGATTCAGGAAAAATAAAAATGTCACTCGAGATAATCTCGGTGGAAGATAGCCTGAGTCTGCCAGTTGTGGAAACTGGCTCTCGATGTAAGAGCTTTCATGCATCCTCCTTACCTAGTCCTGAGCCATGTTAAGTCCCAACCCCCAAACCATTTAGTATTAAACTTAATTCTTCCTATAGCAAACCGTCAAACAAAATCACAGAACAACTGCCTGGATTTCATGAAACAGATTAGACTGACAGACACTTGTCACTGAAGGTGTTGCTCAGGAAAGGAGCTTACATACTGGACCCTTGGCTATCCTCACCGCTTAATTATTAGCTCCTTGTCTGCCTCTGGTTTGGACCACCCCAGAGAGCCCTGTTATCTGAGACAAGGCTCATGTAGAGGGTAAAGAGATGGGTGTGAACTCACCTGTGCTGATGCCAGGGTTCACGTGTATTGTGAAATACCTAAATATGGTTTGCTGACTCCCAAATAGGGATTCTCCGATAGTTTAGAAGCATCGCTTAAATAAATCCATCAGGTTGGATATCTTCATGTGAAATCTTCCTGACTTCTCGCAGAGGAAGTGTGTTAGCATGGTCAAAAAACCCTGTAATACAGAAACCATCATAAAATTATGAAGGGGAGGTCTGCAAAATAATTTCTGTGAGGCAAGGCAGAGTATTGGTCTGGAAACCTCCTTCTGTGCATTTTTTAACTGGCATTTGCAGTATTTACTTGATTGAAAACATTTCTTGCTGTTTGCTTTGGGTCAAATTAAAATTCACAAATCTTCATGTATTTCTGCTGCGATAGTTAAGGTTATCTGAAAGTCTTTACACAGTCACCATCCACACTGGAAATCCGTAGCCTTGATCTCCATCTCCCGTGGATCTAAGACATTAGCTGCACCTCCTAATTTTTCCTTACCTTTATGGGATTAGCCACAGTACCAGTCCCATAGTTTCTGCTGCGGTTCCCTGAATCTCTGCTCTTTTGAGCCTGACTTTGTGCATGTCCATCATGTAATTAGAGGCAAGTTTGTGAGGGGAGACAATTTTCTTGCAGTTAAGATAAAGAAGCCTAATGTGCCTGGGTTTGGTGCAATTTGTAAAGTAATACACAGATGGGAAGCGGACCATAATGTTGGGATTAATCCTAAACATTCAGTGTTCACATACCATTAAGAATTTCAGCCTTTCGTACTTACCGAGTTTGTATGCTGGATATTCTTACCTCCTTAATTTAGTTAAGGCCTGGGGGGTTATGTTTGCCAGAATTTCCAAAGGTAATTGAAATATTCTGAGGGCAACTGAAAAAGATCTTTTCACAGCTATTTTGATCTAATTTGTCTAGTCTGTTATTTCTGGGAAAGGGTTAGCAGTCTTCACGTGGAACTCTTCTGAATACATCAGTCCACATCTGTTGTTTATCAAGATAGCTGCTGTAAACCTTCAAAACTAAATAGTTACCTTTGTAAGGAACCTGCATGTTTTTAATTGAAAATAATGAATTCTGTACGTTAATTTAAAACTTATTGTAAATTTAAGGTAAGGAAGCAGACAAGTCTCCTTTGCAGTGTTAGGTGACAGCATGCAGGACCAGGAGGGTGCAAAACCAAACTGGAATAGGCAGCTCAGTATTGAAGCTGAGGGCACAGCTGGAAAGGTGTGTTTATTTCAGTCTTCAGATACACTGGAATACTGCTAAATTAATACATTTGTTGTAGATTTTATATTTCATGTACATTATTCAGTATGACTTCTGGTGCTTCAAAGGAATGTGTCATAGTCCTGTTGGCATTTTTCAATTCACCAATTTAATGTGAAACGTTGTTTTCTCCTCCGCAGGTCTTTCCAAAAGAATAAAAACAGGCAAAGCAGCATTAGTGCAGTGTTCTTGCTGAACTGTAGAGCTTAGTGACTGTCAGAAATGCAAAGTTAATGAATTAAAACTGAACGTAATTCTGAGTTAGGGGAAATTATCGATGGGGAAGTACAGGACACGTGATTTTCCAAGAACACGGAGTAAGGCAGTGGTGTCAGTAGAAGGTCCAAGATGCCTCTCTGGGTTTAAGCTACAAACGAATTCTCCTTTTTACTACGCTGCGCTGTTTGGCTAACTCAAGGCTTATAGAGAATCCTTTGGTTAAGACCTCATGACTTTTAAGCAGATGTTTTATACAGTATGCAAAATAGAAATGAATCATTTTTAAAATTCAAAATCACCAACAGTGGAAACTGTGTCTTGAAAACCTGTGAGGTCTCCTAACTATTGCACATCTTCACAGGGAAAAATGTGCTCTAGTATATAAGGGACTGGAACACTTCACAAGCAAGCATTTCAAATCTTGTGACTCCCCAGATGCTTTAAGTGTGCTATTGCACTGCCCCCTGTGGTGTCTGGGCTGGTTGGGTCTCCTCTGGAGAGAAAGGAAGAAAACAAAAGAAAGGGCAGGAAAACTAAATAAATGATTTTTTTTTCCTAGGAGCAGGTTTAGCTGACGATGATCTGATTGAGCAGAGAGCATTTAATGCTCTAGGGGTACATAAAGGCAGGAAGAGCCCTTGCTGAGAGAGAAAAAACTCTCTTAAGGGGAAGGTCTTCTGAGAAACGCCAGTGTAGAACTAAAATAGAGCAACTAGAGGAAGGAAGTCCATGTCCTATATATACAGAGAGGGAGGGGGATTTTCTCCATAGTAACGGAGGGAGCAGGGGAGGAGGAAAACACAAACTGCAAAAGATGTTTTAACAAATTGTATAGAAAAGAGATTTGAGGTTTGCTCTTCTTCTTTGCTTGCAGGGCCTGTGGTTTTGGTGTGATACAAAATCCCTTAAAAAATGTCTGTTTTAGCTAATAAATCAGGATTCATTATTTCTGGACAATTACAAAGCTTATACTTTAGGTTTTGCACTTCATATTCTAAACGTCTTATTGTTACAGTACTTGAGCTTGGTTGTTAAAAGAAAGTTTCAGTTCTGTGACTCACATAACACATACGTAGCTGCGGTATTTGTATTATTACTGTGTAGTTACAAAATGTTTTGGCACTGGGATACGGCCAGATTTTGCAACGGTATTTAATACGTGGAAGTTAGGTGAGGTGGTCTGTGTGGCCAGTCAGTCGGTGTGGCCAGTCACGTCGGTGTCACTGAAGTAATCCCTTGCATGGAAATCACAGGTGTCCTGAAGGTTATAGGCTTGCTCTGAGTTTCCCGATGGGGTTTTGCTGATGCGCGGAGAATCCTTTTTTGCCTTTTCCCCCTACTTGTTCCTTGCCCTCTTTTTCCCTGCTTAACTTCAGCTGCAGTCTTGCAAAGCGCTTGCAGGACCTGCTGTTACATCTCCTGCCAGGCAAATCCCTATCAGTAAAGAAAGAGGTCCTTCAGCCTCAGAAATCTAGCACTGTAGTAAACCAAATCTTTCACAATGGATGTGAAACATCCTTTCCTCCTTCTGTTAGCACTTTTCCTTAATTTACAGTGATTACTTTTCATAACTAGTAAAGCAGTAACCAGTCCCAATTTTGACTTTATAGGAGACTGCAGTAGTATTTGTTGTTTAAAAAAAAAGTATTTTGCTCAAACGTTTGCCTTTCATGTTATGTGGGATGGATGATCTTTTTGTTTAAAAATACCTGTAGTTCCTTCTGCAATGACTGACAGCAGTGTCTGGTTTCAGGGTGGGATGATTAACTGGAATAGACTGTTTCCTCCTTTACGTCATAGACATAATGCGAATTATCAAGATCATCGCCCATCTGAACAAGACACACCTCCACCTACCGAGGTTTCTGAAGAGCAGGTAAACATTTTTCTATTTTAAAATGGCATTAAAAATGGTTAGGAATTACCTCTACTAATTTTTCATCATCTGTTAACACAGTTTCTTAAACATTCTCTATAGCAGCACAAATTAGAATATCAGTAACAGTCACGATACAGAATCAGCGAGTTGTCGTTACCATCCAAACCAGAGTTACAAATCGACTTGGCTGTTTCTATGTGTAACTGTCTTTTGTATTTGAAGGTGAGATAGTTTTCACTAGTGGGGGCTATTCAAATCTGATAAAATAAATGCTTCGAAGAAGGAAGAATGACAAATAGATTTCATTGTTTGTCCTGTAGACATGCAACGGTTCCTTCTTTAAGGTCTCCAACTTAAGTTTCCAATTCAGTCATGTAGTTTTTTGGGAATAAGAATGTTATGCCAGCTGTGGACTGCAACACAGGCTTGGTCTAAAATTTGGATGTGTCCCTCAATAATGCTGCTGACTGATTTCACATACTGATGCCACAGAGAAGCTTGTGTCTTTTCTGTCAAGTATAGATTTAGACTTACTGTATAGATTTAGGCTTTCTGACTTCTTTTGGCAGTTTCATTCTCAAAAGAGAGGATGGTTAACCAGGAAACTTAAGAATTTCAGATTAGTCTTATTTCTGTATTCAGGATTTATTGCACACAGGCAAGTTCTCCAGGTTGTAGCCTGTCTGCAGTTGGCTGCATTGGCCACTAAGTCTCAGTGTCCAAGGTCTCTGCTACCCTTGAACAAGAGTAGGTTTCAAGGGTGAGTTTTTCTTTCCATTTTTCCTTTGTTTAGGGAGATAAATCGACACTTGCTAGCACCATGCTGTCATTTCAGGTTAGTTTAAAATGAGCTTGTCCTGAACAGAAATATTTGCTGTGATCCGATTTCTAGTTTTGATTCAATGTTGATTATGTTCAAAATGTTCAAAATTTTAACTGCACTGGTGGTTGTGAGTGCAAACCCGCTGGGCTACATCTAAAAAGGAAAAAAACGCAACGAACAAAAAAAAAAAAAAAAAAAAAAAGGAAAAGAAGAAAAACCCCACACTGAAGAACACCTTCTGAGGCAAAACCCAGAAACTTAGTTTTTGTCGGCCTGAAAACCTACTCAGTGTCAGATATGGGGCAGACCAAAAGATTTCCCTGCTGGGTTGGTGGCTTGGTTTGCTTATTTGTTTTATTGACAAATTCTCCTTATGGCAACTTTTATTGTTGGGCTGGAACTAATGAAATAGTTATCAGTCTGACTTACGCTGGATTTTACCCAAAGCCCTTAGGCCCAGATTTATGAAAACAATATACGCTCATATTTTCTAATGCATTGAAGTTGTAGAGCTCAGGTGATCGCTGTCATTTGCAATGCTGCCTATTTACCCTGCAAAGGAAAAAGCAATCTAAGCACCTTTGATTTCTCAGGACTGTACTAGTAACTGCACAAGTTGTCCTAGAGCAGCAGAAGTGCAAGGGGGTTTTTTCTGTTCTTCGTATTGAAGTTTGCAAGCATTTGCAATGCCTTTAGTAAAAAAATCTCTGCATTTCTTGTGGGTTTTTTAGCACCTTAGATTACCGTTACCAGTATGCATCTCTGTTTCCTGGAGCTGGATTCAGTTCTTATGGTTAAAATATACTCAGATGAAGAGCTTTGTGTTGTTACAATCCATTCCCCATGGTGCTCACTGGATATTTCTGTAAATGGGAACACTGCAATTCCATCCACCTCTTCTTAAGGTTAGAATTTGTGGCAACCATGGTAAAAATCTTTCATATGAAATTTGTTTCTGTGGTTATCTTTAATTCCACTGCCTACCCTTTTTCTCATAAACAACACAACTGTAGATGAAAAATCAGACAGAATAAACTTTAGAAAAGTTGCGAGTAATTAAATCCAGTTTGAATCCACTTCTGTTGCAGAGGTGTAGAAAGTAACAATTCATTTCTCTCACTCCAAGAAGGTGAGAAACCAACGTTGGGTTGGGGGTGGGGGGAAGAGGGAGATGCGCAGAAACGATCAGTCCCATATTTGATATTGTGACAGCCAAGGTAGCTGTTTACAAACGTTTTGTAACGGTGTATTTAGATTAAGCAAAGGAGGACCCCCACCTCTGGACATCCTTGGCAGTAGTATATTTCTCAGTAAGCTGCCAAAGCAGAGAATATTAAAAATACTAAAAGTTCTGGAGGCATCTTAGAGAAAGGGGGG